ATGTTGAAGGTGCTCTTTGTACAGACTGTAAAAACAAATTTCCTCTACTGAGGACAATAAAGAATGAATCTGAATCTGAATCTGAACTGACTGTGAATCAGGGTCCAACAGATCATTACGGCTTTACTCTGTGAGCTTCTGAAGAGTCGCCTATCATCTGTTGACTGTGACAACAGAACAAATATAATCATTATTGGTGGCTTCCTTTTGCAGAAGATCCATTTTTCACATGGCAGCGCACAGTAGGGCCAATTATGATTCTGAATTGTTTTTTTTCTCCACAGATCTTGGACACTATGTTCCAAGTGTAATGCAAGCAAAGCATAAACAGTTATGCAATAGATTCATGCCCTGGTGACAGCTCCTTACAGTATCATAAGTACCAGAAACTTTAAACTTCCAGAAAACCCCAATGCACATCGAACACACAGCTGAAATGCCAACACTTGATTTATGAGGACAAAATACACATACTGGATTAAAGCTCCAACACTACTACACTAAAAGCAATATTTTGACCTGACAGAGTCTTGGTTAGGCTTTCTGACCCAGCAAACGATTGCTTTTTATTAAATACAGGATTGGCAGCTTGAATTCAGTGTTCCTTACATCCTTCAAGCTTCACGTGCACTTCATACAGTATACGCAGTGCACACAGAACTACTGCACAGCAACTGAGAATACTCCTCACATTTACTGTCACAGATGTGATGGATACAGCATTACACTGCTCATGCTATACAATTGCTCATAGGGACTGCAACTAACAGTTATTTTCATTATCGATTAATCTGCAGATTAATGTCAACATTAAATCGATTAATCCTTTGATATATATATAAAAAAGTCAGAAAATAGTGAAAAATGTCCATCCCACTTCCTCAAAGTCCACAGTGATGTCCTTTAATGTCTGTTCTGCAAGTCAAATATTCCAATTCAAAATTATTCAAATATTCAGTTTAAGGTATGAAACAGATAAAAGGAGATATCAATATTTGAAGGCTGAAAACTGCATTTATGCCATTTCTACATGACAAATTACTCAGACCATTAATAGAATATAGCTGGCGATTATTATTCTGTCAATCAACTAATCAACTAGTTTACTAATCCTTGGAGCTCTTATTTCCCTTGAAAAGTCTTTAAGAAGGCAATAAATCTGTTACTGAAATAACAAGAACCACAGCACTACTGAGCAACCTCACACAAAAGAGAAAAATACAGGGGATGAAAACACAAACATCTTCAACCCTATAGGCTACACATTATGAAACTGGGATGGTGTCGTGTGTTTAAATGGGATTTTCACAGAGTCTATAACTGAGGATATCTCAGGATCCTGTGAGATGCTTCCCACTGATGACATTCTCCTCCACTTCCAGTTAATATGCAGGCAGTTATTACATAGTGGGTGGCATACTGCCTTCAAAATGTCAATACAGCTCCTGCTACTTTAAAACCAATACAGATATCCTAATAAAAGAAAAATATTAGATATCTGCTGGTACAGTTGCATGCCCTTCAACAAAAAAACCCCAACACATCTTAAATGACTTTCTCTTGTAAAATCATCCTTCAAGTAGCCATATCCTCTTTCTTTTAGTCATCAGTGCAGATTACAGATACAGTCATTTGGAAAACCTTAAGGCTACTTCTTTGAAAATCGATCGTTTTTATACTTTCTGCTCAATCAGAGCTGATTTGATTTACAGCAAATTGAGCTTTAACGTAAATTCGTCAAGAGAAGAAGTTGCTAAACTTACCAGACACTCCATACGCGAAAATCACAGCCACATAAGCTTGCATGGTACCAAGTTTTGTGCGGAAAATCGCGCGTGTGGTGAGGAAGGCGCAGCAGTGCTGTGAGCCGCTTGTCCAAACCGGGAACCTGTGTGAAAAAGAACGCCAAAAGTTTCGCGATTAACGCGTGGACCGTGCGGATGAGACACGCTGGTGGAGGGGCGCTGCAGGAGGAGAGCCTGTAGCCGCTTCGCAGGGTCGAGTCGCTCTGAAGCCAGTTCGACAGAGAGTAAGGTGTAAGAAGACTCAGTTGCCACCGTCTGACGCACGGGCAGCAGCAGCATAGGTGCAGCGCGCAGAGGGGGAGGGAGAGAGAGAGAGAGGGGGAGGTATCTATCTGGGGGTCTGAAGAAGAGGACATTTTAGGCTCTGAAAGCAGTGTGCCAACTATACCACGGCTCACTTTTTCTGCTGCTGCAGGGGTACATTTTATGATTTTATTTTTCTGAAGTTAATGATATTGGGCTGTCACGCTGAAGTGGTGATGGCAAAGTATCATATTTAAAGTGAATTAATGGTGAGTCACCCAGGTGCAGAAATCATTCATCAATAGTAGCTTAAGTTTAAGCATAGTCCAAAAATAGAAATGCATGGCAGAAATAGCATATTGCAGTCGCAGCAGTTACCACAAGTTCAACCAATCCATGTCTCACTGGAACAAGTTGCCTTTTCATAAAAAAAACAACAACAACCTAAATACATCACAACATGCATCACAATTTCTAGAAAGAATGAAATCGGACATTTTAGGCCGCAACAACCCCC